GTGTGTGTAATTCAAATATGGCACGGGGATGAAACAAGTTTTAAAAAGTATGATAAAGTGGGTGTAAAGCTTCAAATAAATTATTACAGTACAACAATGGAAAGAGCTTTACAAAATAAATAAATAAAACCTACTACAAATTACTATTCCTTTAATTTTAAGGAATTATTTAATTAATATAGTGTTTTTTCAGTTAATCTATAATTACCAAATCATATAACAATAAATGTTAGAAATGCCATAAAAAGAAGGAACATTATAAAGAAGGAACATTTTATCGTATTTATTTATTTATTTATTTTGTAAACAATCCCTCTTTTGAAATGTGCTTTGTGACTCATTTACTCTATGCATACAATTCCAAGTAGATTAAGTAGAAGGAACTGGTTACACTTTTTCAAACTGACATATTTTATTAGAAAGCCTATGTGCAGTGATGAAAAAATACATGCCTTTTAATAAAATATATTATTCTCAAAGAATGCTACCAGGCTCCTCCTTATTCAGAGGTTGTAATTTACCTTCAGGTTAATAGTTCCTTGTCCATAATATAATACTTAAACCAAGCACAAAGGGATATCTCATTAATCTATATTTTCTTATGGAATTAAATAGTTAGAATAACTGCACAGCTGGAGCCAAAGCAACCAATCCACTTATTTCCTGTTTCTTGTTAACATCTTGTTGAAGAATGCATGTGTTCTATTTCAGTAAACCATATGGAGAAAGCTAGAGAAGATGTAGGATTTCTGTTTTCAGTACTTGCGTACAGCTAAAATCTGTGAAGTTTAAACAGGTGATTTAAGGATGCAGACACAGAACAGAAGGAGGAAATACATATTTTCTCCCTCTTAAGCACAAATACTACATAGACTATGCTAAAAAAAGATCCTCTTTCATCACATTTTGAAATACATACACATTCATCTTTAGAATCAGTTATCAAAGATAAAATATAATTAGGTTTGGGCTCCTAGCATTGAAACAGGAATCAGCTGCATATCCAACCATTTATCAGAAATATTTGGAATACACAATGATAAAGTAAAATAAATCTATCATTTAACAAATATTTCAATTAGTTTTTTAAGCTGTATGTGCTTTCTGCTCTCTACAATGTAGAAATCGAGATACAACTTTATAGACTACCGTATTCCTATAAATGATTGTGCTTGTGTGAGTGTATGTGTGTGTGTATGCACCTGTGCCTATTTGTTGTTTCTAATCTCCAATATGGAAGGGCATTTTGAAAAAAAACATTTCCCCCTTTTCATTTTGTATCTTATATGATAAATGGAGCCCACTGAGTCCTTGTTTCTACACAGGTTGGACAAACAGTTGGGTTTGTTGAGGTCCTGTTCAGAGGTGGTATTCACTTACCTTCCCTACCGGTTTGCAAATGTGAGCGTGTACACAGCTCAATTTATTTTAATTTACAAGTTTAAATTTTTGTTCCCTTGCTAAGTAGATTGATTGGGTGTTAACAATTACATTACATTACATGACTAAATATGCCCATTTTCAATAGTTTAAAAAAACTATACATTTTTGTTTCCTTTTTCTCTCTTTTTATTTTTACATAAAAAAAAGAAAGAGAAGGTTTAGTAATGGATATTTTAAAGGATAAAAAATTAAAATTTGATGATGATTTATATGTTCAAGTCCCTTTATGCTGTAACTGTAGTGCAGCAAAGCTGGCTGTGGAATTCTGGGAGTTGAAGTCCACCCGTCTTAAAGTGCCCAAGCTTAAGAAGCACTCTCTTAGGATGTTGAGTGCACCTGAAATTTGTATTTCGACATTTCCATAGCTTGAACCATAACGGCACAAAAATGAACAATTGGTATTGGCTAGTGTTGATCTGAACAACTAGTGAAAAAAACCTATGAAAATTTTATTTCTTAAAAATGATTCTGATAACAGTATTCTTTATTTGAGTAACAATAACTACAGAAAATTCTTGTGAGCAGAAATCAAAACACAGCATTCAGGGAACTGAAAGGATTCAAAGAACTGCAAATAATAGCAAGAAGCATCTCTTGTCCTGCCATATAAAAATCAGAGCTTTATAACTGCATAGAGAGAATCTTTATGTTTTCATAGATTGTATTCCATTAAAATTTAAAATTAATTCTAAAATTTATTGTTTATAAATATTTATGATGAAATAGTGAATTTATATATTCAGCATGTGATGCACATTTCCTTTTCAAATATGCTTTCATATTTTTCAGCCTTTCTCTAGTTTCTGAATAACAATTCTTATATATTCATTTTGAGGTTATTGTACTACAGTAGTATCATTTATTCAGAGTGACTGACTGACTAATCAAGCATGCAATTTCAATGAATGTAGATTTTAAAATTTCTTTTTCCTTTTAGCTGTCTCTGTAATGAGGTACAGTGCTTCATCATTTGGATTTGCAGTAAGTATTCTCATAACTGAAATGTACATTTGCTTTTTCTGATCGAATCCACTCATTAGTTTCATCCACAGTTGTCACAAATACTATTAATTCACACAAAGAAATTTAAGAAAGAGAGGAACCATGAGTAAAAGTTAAACAATCAGACCAGAAGTCTAATTGGATTTTAGGTAGGATTTCTTATTTGAATTTCACAGAAGAATTAGAAATGGGTCTAAAGCATATTCCCAGCATTGTCCACTGTTTCCTGTATTAGCAACATAACTGAGGCACGTTTCAACAGAGGCTTAGACAATTTGTGGAGGCTTGTTTTATCAATAGTGTTAAGCAAGAGCTAACTTAATTCTCTGTGTATACCCTCAGATTAAGTCTCAGTATCAGGAGATTAATCAGCCTCATGCTGATTTGCAAGTTCTGGGAGTATGGAGTAGGTAGACATTTTACGGTAGTTTACTATTTATATAGCATTAAAAAGTTCTAATACTAAGGACATATTTCAAATAAACAATCCTCCTCTTCCAACCCCAAAATTAGATGATTATATTCCACTTCCATGTTATCGTAATGGCATAGAGACCTGACATTATACAGTGGTTCAGGTCTAGGGCTGGACTGGGAGTTTAAGGCCATCCTTATCCACAGAAGTTCAGTGGGTGATTTTGATACTGTCTCAGCCCAATCTATTAAATAGTGTTATTTTGAGAAAATAAGGAAGGAGGGACTTATGTCTGCCTCTTGAGCTGGAGGAAAGTTGGGAGATCTACCCAATAAATACACCAAGCAGTTAATGAAGAAATCCTCTTTTGGTAGTTCTCTTCATGTTCATATATTCATTAAGAACTTTTTAAAAATGTTTGTTCCTTAGATGATCATCATATGTATCTAATAAGATTGGATTGTAAGATTGGATTTTAACTAGTGACTGTTGTCATTTAGGTGTCTAAGAAAACAAATAATTCTGGCAGTATTGTTTGTGTGAATCCATCAGATATGAAGTTGGTGCTATAATTTGCTAATTTAAAAAATTCAGTAACAACCTGTGCTCTAGTTTTTATTATTTGACAGTAAGGTTCATTACTTTGCCTTAAGTTCGATCTTTCTGCCCTTATAGAAGAGTCTTGTTTTTAAATATGTATGTGTTTGGCAACAGAAAAGAGGTTACACTGTACGATTGATGGGGTTTAAAATATTATTACTCCTTGTCTTTTGTTTCTTTTAAAATAAAAAGTCAATTTTTAATGTTCCTTACTTTTTATTCCAATGATTAATGCTGCATCTATATATATATATATATATATAGCATTGCATCACCCTTAGCAATCTTTCATTGCAACATCTTTTGCCTTAGTTGCCCCAATTAAATTGTTTATTATCTTTTCCAGTTTGATGCCACTTTGGATGTGTTGTCTTCAGTGATAGTTCTGTGGCGTTACAGCAATGCAGCAGCAGTTCATTCGGCACACAGAGAATATATGTGAGTACTTAAAGCTATTTTTATCTCTGCTGAAGCTTTCATTAATACTTTATTTCCACTGGGCCAATTATTTTTTTCTGCCCTCATGATTTCTGGAAACCTCCTCGTGGCACCATACTAAAAATCTTTTCACAGCACCACAGGAAAGCACCATATGTAATATAGCGCCTTTGAACAGCGGTTGATGAAAACCTTGGATCCATCCTTCAGTGGAGGATGCATACATTGGTACCTGCAGCTTGAAATTCACATTGAACAGGCTGTCCTGCTGCATTAAGTTGCACAGTGGGTGATCTCAAAGCAGGCAGTCTATCAAAGCATAATTTGTGTAAAGGTGCAGCAGTAACTCATTATTTTGATTTTATCTTATTCCACTGACAGAATGTAATCTATCATATTAGATTCAAAGTATAATGGTAATCATCTTCAAAAGCTGGTGCTTTCTTTTCCCTGTGGACCGTTTTCCTTTAATAAACCTTTCAGCAAACTGCTATTTGACTTTTAGTGTTTCTCTACAAAAAATGGGTGAAGGTAGTTACTTGTTTTAGGTGTATAGTTACCAGGTATGTAGCTATATAGAAAATTCATGGTTTCTATCCATTCATCCTGCTGAGGTTGCAATTGGTTAGGGTGTCACCTCATGCTAATCAGATTATTTGTTTGGGGCAGGAAAGACACAGATTTTATGCTCTTAGTGACTTTTTTATTCATTACGAATAAAACGAGAGTTCTCTACAAGAGGGCGTGATTGGAAAGAAAACCGAGTGCAACTGTGAATGTTGGGAATATAGGAGATGTAGAAAACATGCCTGCTTCTGAATGTGATTTTGCGCATGTATGCAAGAAAAATAAACACTTCCATGTTTTATGTAATGAAACAGTACCGTAGGAAGTTACTTATAGAGGGAAAGTACCAGTAAGAAAAGATCAGAGGTTAAAATAATTGTTAAAACTCTCATGTATACCTGTCTAGCAAATCTTAGAAACTGGCATGAGCAAATGAATTCTATGGGGTATCATTTGAAGAACCTTGTAACCTCAATAAAAATGGGGGAAAGAACTGAGTACTATATGTAATATGCCATGATTTTATTTATCATAATTTCACCTAGTCTAGTTGTAGGATATCAGGGCACAAGTACTGATCTTGACTTCCTAGCCTATAGTTGAGTAAGTTTGATCAGAAAAGTGGTATTAGAAGTCAAGCATGACTAAACAATTATGCAGTATATATTTACCATTTGTATTGCTCATTATTTTGAAAATAACAGAAACAAGGCCCTCTAGATAGGAAAAAAGGATTTAGCTGTAATTCATTTTGCCACTGCAAACCTACTGCAACATTTAGGACAGAAAAAAAATACGAAGTAAATAATGTTCTGTGAAATTACTTGGAATCATTAGATAGATATAATCACATTGCGCTTCACTGTTTCATATTCAATAGCTAAGTAAATATATTGTAAATTAGAATAAACATGAATCACTAGGATAAGCATGAATAATTCTGATCATAGTGCTTTGATATTTTCTTGTATGTTTCTCAGTTTGTATTATAGAATTGGTAGGTGAATGATACTTTTATTTTAAATTTGCTAGGTAAAGCAAATTNATCTATAGGACACATTCGCGAACCATATTCTTTTTTCCAGATCTGGACAACATTGTGAATCTTTTTGAATTCATTGATTGATAAAATCAAATATTCCTTCACTAAATCACTGCCTTGTTCCAATCTTTCAGATTTGTTTTGTACATAAAATAATAAGTTTCAACATTGGATTTGACTAAGGTTAGATAGATATTTCTGAAGTGATCAGGCGTAATTTGTGAAATCCTTTTACCCTTTGCTGTGCTGTTTTTAATGTTTTTATGTTTACACTGTGCTGTTTTTAATGCTATGGGTTGTACTCCATTATTGACTTAAATGGGTGAGCAATCCATGGTTGAATGTGGCCCCCAGGCTCTCTTTGGCAGTTTCTAAAGATTTCTGAGATTTAGCAACAAAATGTTTTTGTTGTTTGGTCTTGTATTTTACTTCTTTTTCTCTATGGCACTTAGAGTGAAAACATCAAGGATGTATGCAACCCTCCTGGAAAACCAGAAAAAAAATCCTAGACATGTTTAGGCCACCAACTCAAAGGAATTGGTATTTTGAAAAAGTATAATTCCTGGAGTAAAAATGGTTACCCTCCCCTATGTTAGGATGTCTAGTGCTCAAATGTATTCCCATATTAGGTAATCACCCTGATAGCGGCTGTTGTAAGAAAAAAGCTACTCTACAAGGCTGCCTTAAATTCATTATCGCAGCTAGAGTTAGGATGTCTGTAAAAATGAAATATAGCTCCAGAATATTACCAACTACTCTATTCTTTACCTTGAGAAAAACAGCTTGCCAATTTCCTCTGTTTCTTCTTAGTTTGTAAAATGCAAATGTATATTTCCCAAAGGTGGGGAATAAGGTAGCTTAAGTCTGTTAAATGAATTTTTAATAGATAAGATTGTTCAGTTAAGCATGTCGTATTGGTGAGGATGTTCAGGGCATGTACTTCTGTGTGCCTGGAACATAAGAGGGCCCTGGGTCTGAAGCACAGATGTGTCATGGGCATCACAGAAATAGGATCAGATTGATCCAAACTGGACATAATTTACTTTGGGGCATTCACTGTATCGTCCAGTTAAAAAAAAGGTTTTTTTTGTATGAAACAAGCAAAAGTATGGCATCTACAGATTTTTCATAGCTGATTTGGTGGTGTAAGGAGAGAAGAAGAAAAGGAAAGAAAATTGCAGTTCTGGAAATATTCCTATTTATAAGTGAATTCATAACTAATGTAATTCATAAGTAAAATCTTGATTTTATACACCCCCTTCAGTGGACTGAATGCATTGGACAACATCTGGATTCAGATTGCTTTGCCAAATAGAATTTAGTCCAGACAATGTTCATACATATAATGTAAATTATATAAATTTTACATGATCTATGAAAATTTTATGTGGATTTCTGTGTAAGGTATCATGTGAAGATAGTAGTAAGATGCATTGTTTGAATTAATTGCTATAATATCTGGCTGTCTGTTTTTAAGATCACAGATTACATGCAAAGCATTGCCTCCTTATTAAAGTAGGGCTGTTACATGTGCATGGCCAACTTTAATAATTAGACAAAAAATACAGTATGTGAAATTGCTTTTCAAGATGCTATTTGTATCAGGTGCATTTGAATCTGGGGGGCATGACTGAAGAGATGCTCTTAGGAAATCTCTGGGGAATTTCAATAGGATATTAATTTATCAGTGCTTCTGTTACATTGTAATAAACTATACTGGTGTGAGTGGATATAATGAATTTAGATGATAGACAGATCTGTTAGTATAATTGTTCATTTGTTATATCAGATTTTTAAATTTAGAATTATTTGCTTCTGTTTATAGCCCAAGCCTGTAAAGATGAAGTAAGGAAAGCTAAGGCTCACAANTGAGCCAGTGAGATTAGAACCGCTGAACTGCAGATAACAGTCAGCTGAAGTGGCCTGCAGTACTGCACCCTAACCACTGCGCCACCTTGGCTCTTTTTAAGAGCTTTAAGATTTGTGGACTTCAACTCCCAGAATTGCTCCTCCAGTCATGTTGTGATGACGTCATCTGCATGGCTCTGCTCCACTTTGCTTTATTCACAGGCGGGGGGGAGGGCTGCCGCTGAAGATGCCGACGAGTCGTCACCAGAATTACTGCTGCTGCCTCCTCCTCCAACAGCACCACCACATTTGCTGCCCGCCGCTGTGGCCTTTTTTCCTGCTCCTGCTCCCTCCCGCAGACTCATGGCTCCTCAAAAGCACGGCGGAGGAGGAGGGGGCAGGGGTAATGAGCCTAGCTCAGGTGCTCCGAGTGAAGGGGGAGACGCCACTGCCACGGGCGGGGGTGCTGGTGGGACCTTTGCCGGCTTCACCTCAGCCGCAGCGTCGGGCGGCAAATCCAGCAGTGCTGTTAGAAGAGGAGGAGGAGGAGGAGGTGGCAGCAGATATTCCGGTGGCAGCGGGGGCTTCGGGGCTTCACTTCAGCAGCAGTGCCGGGTGCAAGCGGCTAAGACTGGCTGCCCACAAAGGACATCCCTGGGCTTGCTTTGCTGAACACGGGGCGACTGAGGCTAGTTTGAGGCTAGTTTGAGCGGATGCAGCCGGCGCAAACTACCATCAGTCGCCCCACACTAATCAAAACAAGTCTGGGGAGATCCTTTGTGGGTGGCCAGTCTTAGCTGCCTGCAAAGGACTTCCCCGTGCTTGCTTTGCTGAACACGGGCCGACTGTTGGTAATGAGCGCCTAGGAGTTCCTAGGAGACCTACTGTGCCATGTAAGCTCCTGCTGCCATCCCTGCGCCCGTGCTAAGTAGATTTTCTGAGGCCCCTTAGCTTCTGGAGCCTGTGACCACCCCTCGTCCCCCAGGCTGGCTTAGCCGCCCAAGCAGCCTCGCTTCGCCGCCCGCCTGTCGCCTCCAGTCCTCCCTCACCCTCTCCGCCCGATGGAGCACATAAAGCATGTCCCACTGAATGGCTGGCCCGGAAGGCATGCACTTTAAAGTGCATGCCACCTCGGCCCACCACAGAACGAAACATGTCCTGGTTTGTGGTCATACAGCGGGGCGACGGCATGCACTTTAAAGTGCCAGCGTGCCTCCCGGCCACAAACCAGGACATGTTTCGCTCTATGGCGGGCCGAAAAATGAAAAATGAAAATAAATGTGCCAGCCCGCGCGCCAGCAGAGGCGGGTTAAAAACAACAACACACACATAAACAAATTACAATTACTTACATTACACATAATTTTGAATTCCTCCCCCCTATCCCCTCCCTCTGANACAAATCCCTTGTGTGCCCAATCACACTTGGCCAACAATGAATTCAATTCAGTTCAATTCAGTTCAATTCAGTTCAATTCAGTTCAATTCAGTTCAATTCAGTTCAATTCAGTTCAATTCAGTTCAATTCAGTTCAATTCCATTC